TCATGCACCCCGAGCGGCGCATCGAGCAGCAGCAAAAGAAGCGCGGCCACCCTCCAGACCATCCTCCAGCAACTGCCCGAGGAGCAGCGCCGCGTGCTGCACCGCAAGAACATTATCGAGGCCCGCAAGGAGTTTATCGAGGGACTCAACCTCGTCCGCGAAAAGGAGCAGCAAGACGAGCGCGCCCGCCAAAAGCAGCAAGAGCGCGAGGTGGAGGCGGCCCGTGCCCAGGCCGAGGCCGCCGAGCGCGAGGAGGCTGCCCGCCGTGCCAAGCAGGAGGAGATGCAGCGCATCCAAACCGAAGAGAAGATCGCCTCCATGAAGCGCACTGCCGTTGGTCAAAAGATTATTGCCGAGCTCAAGCCGGAGGAGATTAAAAACCTCGACGCCGACGAGCTTCTTGCCAAGCAGGTCCGCCAGCTCGAGAAGGACCGTCAGGACATGCTCAACCGCACTCAGGCCACCGAGCGCCGTCTCGACCACTTTGAGCGTGCCAAGCGCCTCGAGGAAATCCCGCAGCTGCAAGCCGACTTTGAGGCCTTCAAGGTCAAGGACAAGGAGTGGTGGGCCCAGCAACAGGACAAGTTCCGCGAGGCACATCGCCAGACGCACGCCACCGATCTCCAGATCAAGCAGCGTCTCGCTCGCATGACTGCCGACAAGGACAGCTTTATTGCGCTGCTCAACCAGCGCGCAGAGGTCGAGCACCGCAACGCTATTGAAAAATTCGAGGCCCGTGTTGCCCGCGTCAAGGCCGAGCGCAAGGAGGCCAAGCGTATCGAGCTCGAGAAGGAGGCCGCTCGTCGTCGCGCCGAAGCCGAGGCCCGCGCCAAGGCGGAAGCCGAACGTGCCGAACGCGAAGCGCGTGAAGCCGCCGAACGCGAGAGGCAAGAAGCCGCACGCATTGCTCGCGAGGAAGAGCGCAGGCAGCAAGACGCCGTTGCCGACCGTCAACGTCAACGCATGGCCGAGATTGAAGCTCGCCAGCGCGATTCCAGCCGCGACAGCGACCGTCCCGAGCGCCCCGTGTCCACCTGGCGCACCACTGGCATTCCCTCGTCGGCTGCCAGCAGCGCTGGTGGTGATCGCGATTCTCGTGATTCTCGCGATTTCCGTGATTCTCGTGATTCTCGTGATTCGCGTGATTCGCGCGACTTCCGCGATTCTCGTGATTCGCGTGATTCGCGCGATGCTCCTCGTGAGGACCGCTGGCGTCAGTCCGACGCGCCGCCTGCACGCTCCGAAGGCTCCTGGCGCCCACGCGCTGAAGAGCGCAGCGACGACCGTAGCGAGCGCCCTGCTCAAGAGCCTTGGCGTCCCAGCCGTCGCGAGGAAGGTGCCCCGCGTCGCGAAGAAGGTGCCGGCTGGCGCGACAGCGCTCGCCGCGATGATGCCCCGCCCTCTCGCTCTGATTCGGGCCCGTGGCGTTCCGCCCGTCGCGACGATGGTCCTCCTGCCCGTTCTGAGGAGGCATGGCGCCCCAGCCGCCGTGATGATGGACCTCGTCGTGATGATGGTCCTCGCCGTGATGATGGTCCTCCGTCTCGCTCTGACGAAGGCCCGTGGCGTCGTCGCACTGATGATGGCCCCCGCCGTGATGATGGCCCCCGCCGTGATGATGGCCCTCGCCGTGATGATGGCCCTCGCCGTGACGACGGTCCTCGCCGTGACGATGCACCTTCGTCCAACTCCCAATGGCGTCGTGATGATCGCCCGCGAAATGACGCTCCGCGTGAGCAACCGCGCGATCAGCCGGCTGCCTCCAGTGACGGTTGGACGACTGCTCGCAGCCGTCGCTAAAGGATGATTGTTGATTGTGATAGTAGTGACTTTTTGTGTTTGAAGTTTTTTGTTTTTAAAACAGCAATACACGATTGAAAATGAAAATCTTACTGTTGCTCCTCTATCATCTAGATTGCTCACCATTCGATCAAATCCATCTCTGCTGAGACTGTCCAATTCCCGACAAACCATTCCTCGTTTGCTCAGATTTTTGTGCATTTTCGACAAAATCGCACGTTCGTTCCTTTAGTGCTTGATCCATCGCCTGTTGATTTCGAGTCGACTCTCGCTCGTGGACTGCGCTTGCTCTTTTTTTTTTTTTTTTTTTTTTTTTTTTTTTTTTTTTTTTTTGGTTTGGGAATGCCTGCTGCAGTGATGCCGTCGTCGCGGCGAGCAGCAGCAGCAGCAGCAGCAGCAGTCGGAGTTGTCGCTGCGGCCGTCGTGCTGCAAGTGCTGCTGCTCCACCCGTCCCTCGCCGCTGCCGACGCTCCAGGTAGGGTTCCCGACGGTCCATCTTTGCGCTTGCATGTAGTGGGAGTGTGTGGTGGCTGGCGTTTTGCGCAAGCGTCTCTCGCTCACCCGAGTAATCATGACCCGTTCGTTCGTCAACCCGACTTACTCATTGTCTGACTGTGGTGCGGCATGACAGAGTGTGCACGGCTCGCAGGAATGACAGACTACGTCATTAGCGAGCCAGAAGACTTTGAGCTCATCCGCGGCTGCGACGTCTTTCATGGCGCGCTGCACATTGGCGCGCTGCTGGGCGACGACGAGCACATTGACGAGGACATTCACAATGTCGACGCACTCGAGTCGCTGGTCTACGTCGAGGGTCTTGCAATCACAGACTGTGGACTATGGAACCTGGACGGGCTGCGCAACTTGAGGAGAATTGCCGGGGACCTGGTCATTGCGTTCATGCCGGATTTGGTGAACATTGACGGCCTGTACCAGCTCACCGAGGTCAGAGAACATGGCACAAACGAGCGTCTCGCGTTCATGGCATTGAGGACGTCCGAGCCTTTTGCAGAATTTTGTGGGGTCGTCCCTCTCTGACTGCTTTTGCTTTTGGTAGATTACGGGCAGCACATCCATCATTGACTGCAACGAGTTGCTCAACCTTGATGGGCTTGTCAACGTCCTGCGGTTTGGTGGGCCACTCACAGTGACTGAGAACGACAAGTTGCTGAATGTGGACGGCATCTGGGAAAATACGCATGTACGCGACAAAGTCGAGTTGCTCCGATTGCAACGACTGTTCTCTCAATCTTTCTGACTGGTCTCCCACTTGCGTTAGATTGTCGAGGGCTACATCACTCTCAGTGACAATGAAAAATTGTGCGGAATCGATCCTGCAAAATGGTCGCAACGGTTCCACGGCGGCGACACCATCGTGCAGTACGACGCCAATGCCACTTGGTGCGAAGCTCATCCGCGGATTCCGCCGGCTGCTCCAGACCATCCTGTCGTGATTGGCACCTACGCACGTGCGATAACGGTGAGTGTTGACCTGTTTTTTTTTTCCCTTGTTTTTTTCGTTTTTTTTTTTTCCCTTGTTTTTTTTCGTTTTTTTTTTTTTTTCGTGCTCCAGCTTACCATGCACCGTCGGACTCACAAACACGGCGTCTTTCGTTGTGCAGGTGAACTTTACGAAAAGTGACCACACAAACGGATTGATCACCATGTACCGGTTCTTCCTTTACGATGTTGAACACGATACAGAGTACCCAGGCGAAAACTTTACCGACCCCTCGCCCCTGTTCCTGTACCACATTTACAACATTTCAACCCAAGTGCGCCCAAACACAGAGTACATGCTACGGATTTCCGTGACCACAATGTATGGTGAAACCAGCGCGCCCAGAAATAACTTTACCATACGAACGCTGGAGGACGTGCCCGAGCAGCTTCCTGTGAGTATTCTTGGTTTGATGAAGGTCTGTGTTTGAGGGCGGGCTTTGTTCCGACTTTGCGTCTCTTCTTGCGACAGAAACCGCACGCGCTGACAACGCGGTTGCAGCAAGTTGATGTGCTCTGGAGCAAACCCACTCTCCCCAACGGCGAAATTATTCTCTATCAAATGTACATTGCAGCGCCGCCTCGTGTTGTTTATCAAAAGATCTACGAAGGTCAAGGCCACACGGAAGCCGATGAGCAGGTATGTGCGCGTCAAGCGTCGCCCATGGTGGTTTTTGTTTCGTGAAGACTGACTCGCTGTCGGTGGTCTTTTGCATTGTTAGAAGGATCATGATTTTAGCAAGATACTGAGCGGGCTCCTTGTAAGACTGCGCTGTTGCTCGATCTGTTTGCATTTGAGAAAGAAACCGAAGCACGACACTGATCTGTTTTGCCGATGAAATGTTTGAACAGTCCGATACCGATTACAACATTACCGTAATACCATCGCTCCTGTTCATTGGTTTGAAGCGGATGAGCGCAACTAACACGCGCGGTTTCTTTTTTTTTTTTCGTTTTTTTTTTTCGGTTTTTTATCCCAGGTCTTTGCTTGCACTGCGATCGGCTGCACTTCAAACTTTGTGACGTTCACTTCCTTGATGGAAGTACCCCAAGCAATTGCTGTAAGCTCATCTTGAATGCGTTTCACCTGAAGCCTGCGTAATTCACCGTCGACACTCTTCTGGTTGTATGCGTCAGCCGATTTCTGCCACCGAAATCAGCACAGACACTGTTCGCTTGAATTGGCACAGCTGCTTTGCTGCCAATGATCGGATTGGCTTCACTGCCTTCCATGTCATTTTGAACGGACAAGTGGTGCTGTACGAGCGCAACACTGAGGCGACCGAGCACGTCATCTCAGACCTTGCTCCTGGGCAGGAGAACGTGCTGGTTGTTGAGGTATGGGGAACAGTGCGAGTGATTCTGGCTTTGTTGTGCTTCCTGTTCTGCCATTCATTCACCATCTGCGCTTTGATATCCTCAGGCTCAAAATCGCGCTGGATGGGGCCGCTCCAGCCCGCTCTCTTTCACTGTGCCGCCGCGTGCGCCTGAGGGTATGGCGCGGCCAGTGGTGCTTCCAGACGACACGTTTGTCAATGTGACTTGGACTTGGCCTGCACGCCCGAACGGCCGACTCCTCTACGTGCTCGTCTTCCTTCAAGGCCGCGTCGAGCCCGTTTGCAACGAAACATTGGTTTCTCACAGCTGCATTGTGAGTGGACTGATCCCGAAGCACCAGTATTACTTTTCGGTGAGAATCGTCAACGAGGCAGGCTCGGCCGACTCGGCCGTCACCGCTGTGTTTACCGAGCGCGGCGGCTTTTTGCAGACGGGCATTTCAACGACCGTTGTCGTTGGAGCCGTCCTTGGCACGCTTGGTGGAATGGTTTTGCTTGTAGTTGGGCTCATCGCCTACAAGCGACACCAACACGCCAAGCTCAAGCGCAAGTACCACGAGGACGCCAAGGCCCAGCGCGCCAAGCGCGGAAAGCGCAAGTCACGGCGGGCGCTGAGCCAGCAAGAAGAGCGCGAGGACGACGAAGTATTTGGCGACGTCGATCCACAACCAAGGGGGCCCGCAGAAGCGTCCGGATCCAACGAGGGGGCAGCAGACTCGGCAAATCCAGAGACGTTGGCGGCTGCCGCAGCCACAGCGCTCTCCGACCCGCCCTCGCAACTCGGGCGTCGCGCTCACAAGTCCAAGCGACGCTCTCGCAAAGAGGACAAGCTGACCCTCGTCGAGTCCGAAATGACCGAGTTTGGCGATTCCAACGTGTGATTGCTTCCATTGTCAATCTTTTTTGGCGCTCTGAGCTTTTTCAGCTTTGCTTGCGTTTTGTTATTCATTGATGCTACTAGATTCTGTTTAATGTTGGTGGTGTTGTTGTTGCTGTTGTTGCTGCTGTTGCTGCTGCTTTGTTAAGGAACTTTTGAAATAGATACTGCTTGCGATTCACTTCACCCTTTTATAATCCACTCTCCCTCCATCTATTTTATCATAAATTCACTGCAGTGTATTTTCTGAGCTTTCAAGCTCAGTCGTCTTTTTTCGTCCTTCTTGATTTCCACACACACGTCAGATGGCGTCGGCCGAAGCCAAGCAAATCCTGGCTGCAATCCAAGCCCAGCCAGGCAACAATGTACTTTGCTCCCCATCGCAAGAACCCGACGGACTGAAGATTGAATTTAGAAATAAACGACACTCATAGCGGTTATTCGAGAGCGAGACAGAGTGATTGAGAGAGTGAGCGAGAGAGAGCGAGCAGGTGACAGGGCGTGAAAGGTTCGACGACGAGCTGCTGCTGCCTGCTGCTCCATACAACCCACCATCACCATCACCATCATCATCATCATCATACTGGTACTGGTGGCAATGGCTTCCTTGCTCTTGTCTGCTGGTGAAGCGAACGATATACCCTGCACTCCACCTCGACGACCTGCTTTCCTCTCTCGTTCCTTACCTACCAGCCTACCTACTGTGACCATACTTGTTCACTTTCCACCCGACTTTTGAGCTTGCACTTGTTGGTGAAACTGACTTTTTATTGTACCTGTTTTTTGTTGTTTTTGTTTTTTTGGAACACAGAACTGCTTTGACTGCAACGCGTTCAATCCGCAGTGGGTTTCGCTGTCGCACGCCACGTTCGTCTGCCTCGACTGCTCGGGTCGCCATCGTGGCCTTGGTGTGCACATTAGGTAAGATCCATCTCGACGGAAGTAACAAACAAAATTGGTGTTGTTCTGGAGCTTTTCTCAGAACTTGAAAAGTTGCTGTGGGCTGACTTTTTGTTTCGGATCTGAACATTTTCAGCTTCGTGCGATCCGTCACGATGGACAAGTGGAGCGATCAACAGCTCGCCAAGATGAAGGTACGTTGGTGGATGCGGATTGCTGCCAACCCAACATCGAAAAAACACTCAAAATCTCCACTTTCGTCTCAAATTTCCCCAGGCCGGCGGGAATGCAGCTGCACGAGAGTTTTTGAGCTCGCAGCCTGACTGGCGGAATGATGCGTCCATCGAGCAAAAGTACAACACAATGCCTGCTGCTTTGTACCGCGACAAGGTTTGTTGTTGGGATATAAAGCTAAAGTCGTGTTGGGTTTGTTGTTTTGATGCATCGACACTCATCCTCACTTGACTTGTTGCTTCTTCTGCTCCTTGCCGCTTTTGGTAGCTGTCTGCGGCCGCAGAAGGGCGATCTTGGAATATCAACTCTGCCCGACAGACGGTCGTTGTCTACGGCGCGCCCTCAGCCACGGCGTCCCGCACAGCATCCCCAGCCCAGTCATCGCTGGACAACTTTTACGCGTCATCTTCCAACGCCGCATCATCAACATCGCTTGGTTCTAACAGCAAGCACGGCAGCAGTGGCAACATGTACTCTGAGAGCGCCATCCAGCAGTCCATCAGCGGCAAGGATGACTTTTTCAAGCGCAAGCAGTCCGAGAACGCCATGCGATCGTCGTATGTTGGTCTGGGCTGGTGTTGCTTGCGGTTTGTTGGAGCTATGGCGCTTTCCTCATTTTTGGTTTTTGTTTCCATTCGTTCCTGAAAATTCTCAATCCCTCATGACAGCGACTTGCCTCCGAGCCAGGGCGGCAAGTACACTGGGTTTGGATCGTCCAGCTCGACGTCCTCTGGTTCGTCCAAGTCGAACAACAATGGCGGTGAAATGTTTGACGACGCGTGGGCATCCTTCTCGACCGGATGGGCCTCGTTCACCGCGGGTGCATCCAAGCTCGCAACATCCGTCTCGGAGCAAGCTACCAAACTCGGCAGTGCCGTGCAGACGAACGTGATTGCTCCCACCTCGGAGAAGCTGCACGAAGGCAAGCTCCTGGACGAAGTGTCGTCGTTCGCCAGCAAGGTTGGAGCAGGCATGCAGTCGCTGTGGCGTGATGCGGATCGGATGCTGCACAACAATGGCAGTGACCCGTCGGGCTCTCAGCAGCAGCAGCAGCAGCAGCAGCAACAGTCGCAACTCAGTGGCGACGACGACGGCTGGGCCGGCTGGGGAGAGCCTGCACCTGCCCCTGCACCCGCACCGCAAGCGCAGCTCCAGGCAGTGAGCAGCAACAATGTGCCACGCACAAACTCAGCCAGTCCCGCCACTGGCTCGAGCTTCTCTGGCTTCGGGACAAGTCAAGCTCAGGACGACGACGACGACGACGACGAGAATCCTTTTGCCGCCCCGAAGGTCCAACGGCAGCAGTCTGGCAGCTCCAAACCACAGCAAGCTGGATCATTCTCTTCCTTTGGCTCAACCGTACCAGTCAAGGAACTCATGAAGCAGAATGCCGCCGCCAAAGCGCAGCAGGCACCGGCTTCCACTGGCTGGAGCGACGACTGGCAGGACGATGACAACGCCTGGGAGTCGATCAATTCCAAGGCCAAGTAGAGAGGCTTGATGTTGATTTGAGGGTGAGAAAGGGAACGGGGGTTGGCGGTGGCGGCGGTTGCATTTTTTTTTTTTTTGTTCGCGCTTCACCTTAGCTCCGCCCCGCCCCCTTTTCCCCGATTCCTTGTTTTATCTCGTGGATGAGCAATACAGTAATAAAATCTTGTATGTTTCCAAACACTGTGGCATATATACAAGAGCGGCCGAACAAGAAACAGCCGAAACAGACACACAAACAAAAGCGAACAACAAACACACAACATTATCGTCTATACTGGTTTTTTTTGGTCTTCTTTTCACAAAACAACAAGTCGCAAGTTATGACGACGCTGCCGAAGGAGTCTGGGTGGAACACAACCGCCGGATGATGGAAGCTCGGCTCTTGAAATCATCCCAGTCAACATAGGTGCCCTGCAAATGGCGGTTGCCGCTGGAGGGATCAAACCCAGTGCGACCGTGCAAGAGTCGGCGGTTGTTGAAGGCAACGAGGTCGCCGGCTTGGAGGCGGAACTGCAGTCGGTACTGAGGGTCGTCCACGAGCTTGGTGAATTCACGGTAGGCTTCATAGAAGGGGACGACATCTTCTGGTGGGACGTCGAGCGGGCCTTCGAAGGGAGGCGAGTAGAAGAGGTGCGTTTCAGCGTTGTGCGGGTCGAACGAAATGATGGGGTGGCGCATGATGCGGTGCTGGTGTGGGTGCACGTAGTTGTACGTGACTGGGACGCGCACGAGCGTGTCAAAGTGATGTGGGTGAGTGCGTCGGAGCGTTTCGGCCACGCGGAAGCCGTCCACAAAGAGCGACTCGCCGCCGGTAGGGACGGTCACCTCGAGGGCGTGCAAGAATTGCAGGCCGGGCGGAGCTTCAAAGTACATCAGGTCCTGGTGCAGCATCAAGTCCAGGGAAGTATAGGCAATGTTTTTGGCGTTCTTGACGCTGCGGACGTCCCAGTGGCGACCGTAGAAGGTGTCGCGAATCGGTCCAATGCGCTGTGCGACGCGAGCAACCTCGCCTTCCTGGGTCGGGACGTTGCGAATAAATGAAATGCCAAACTCGCGCAATTGCGTCAAGCTGGACAGCAGACCGGCGTCCGTCGACATGTAGTCCTTGTAGTCGACT